AGTTAACTTAAAGTACTCTTTTTGTTCAAATGTTTTATGTTCTCTTCTATGTCAACTGAATGCATGGAGGAGTTCCTTTTGATGAGAAATATTTAAGTAATGTGTAATGAGAATATACTTTTAAATAAGGGTATTTTTGTACTCCGGTTTGATTTGTCAAAACCTTTTCAAATGACAAAGGATTTTCTTAGCCCTTTCTCTTTCCTTGTGTATTAGTTTTGAGCAAATACATAACTGGATTTAATAACTATGAAAAGCTAATTCTCCAAGCATAGGCAGAGTATGTACAGTACCTATAAGACCACTTTCCCCTGTAATTATAAGATAATAGTAATAAAAAAAAAAAAAAAATTGGTTTATAAGGGAAGTCAGTAAAACACTACTCTCGGTCTCAGACTGAGGTAATGCTGCGGTAATAAAGGTATTAATTCTTGCACAAAATTAGAGCTTGCTCTGGATTTTCCCTGGAAAATACATCTCTCTTTCTGTGGTCATGTTTGTGTGACCTTTAACATAACAATATGTTTTCTCTTGGTTTTTAATCCACAGACCATTCCTGTAGTGGTAAGTCCTTCTGCTGGGACAGTGGCAATGAGAAGTGGAGTTCAGTATGTTCAGACCACAATGCCAGTCCAAGTACGAAGAGTCTAACTGCTAACAAGAAGCCCATACAATTGTTGGAATAAATAAAAATCTCTCTAATAGAAATGTGAAAAATAAACACAGTTCTTTGGATTAACCTCAAAGGTTCAGACTTTAGCTTTGTATATGTGTACAAAGCATTTACTACACTACATTAATGTAAAGCATTAGCGATGGCTTAAAAAAGCAGAGGACAGGTAAGATCCATGTTAAATCTATGCTTCTTTTGTAAATAATGTACAATTTGTGGATGTCATTAAAGTTAAGAGTACCATCTCCTTTTTATATTTGTATTGACTTTAACTTATAAAAGAGTTTTTGAAGTTGGTAAGGGAAGGCTTAAGAGAGCCTTATCAGAAGGTAACACTGAAGACTGGTCTTGGGGAAATTGCCGTTGGGCATCAGACCACTTCATGTTTGGTAATCAGGAGAATTTGAACAACTTGATTTACATTTGGATTGAGAACAATTTCTGCACTTTGAAACTCTATTAGAATTTCCTTTTGTGCAACCAAATGATGAAGTGTAACCCTTCAGTTAATTCTCTTAGGCAAATTATGACACTTCCAATCAGTGGACCTGCAATACATAAAGAAGGTATTTACCTTGTTTTTTTTTTCCCAGTGACCAGACTGTTAAAATTTATATTGTTTACAGGAAACAAAATTTCATTCAACCTAATATCAGAAAAGTGGRAAAGAGTGACACGAGCTGGTGGGTAGCATGTTCTGATCAGTGATATCAAAAACAAGAAAAGTGGAGGTTTCTCCTATGCTTCACAGTTCAGTGTGGCTGGTTTGGGGGGGGGGGTTGTTTGGGTTTTTTTTTGGTTATTTTTTTTTGTTTGTTTTAATCCTTTAGAAAGGGCTTTGTGGTGTTTTTCAAATGGAACAAGAGCTAGGTGTGGAGAAAATTATGGATCAGGAAACGTGGGCAAAGGACTTTTGATGCTGGGCCAGAGCATGTATTATTTATAGGATGGAATTTATGTTTTTATGTAAGCATGAAGCAGTACAGTATGAGAGAAAGTAACCCATGAAAATGCTGTCTGTTACACTTATACTGTAGTACCATTTTGTATGTTGTGTAAAACGAAAGCATTGAACAAAGCAAAGGTGATGTATGTATATGAGAAAAATAATTGTATGATATCATTCCAGTACATTCTGTTGTACATTTTAGTCATGTTGATTTCTCCCATTGTTTATAAAAGAATGCGGTTTGTACAGTCTCCAGCTAGTACCCATATTAGAGGAAAAAAAAGTATTAGAAAAAAAAAAGCGAGAACAGAATATTCGTGAATTGCAGTTGTGTCAAAAAATAGCCTAGCTGGCCTTATTTGTGAAGCATAATTGCTTTTAGCATATGGAAGTATTTTTTCACATTTTCTTTGTATAAAATTTGTATTAAACTTAAATATCTTTTTCGATGATTGTGTTTCTTTGTGACTGATACAGGTGACACAATATGCTTTGGGTTTCTCCAATTTTTCAAGAAACGTCACGATTTTTTATTAAACTGATTTAGAAAAATGGTTTGTGTTCCTGGATTTCCAGTTTCCTTCGGTCTGGACAAATCTGTATTTCTTCATCGTGTCCAGATCATAGAGCTCTGTGTTAGGGTGCTCAGTCTCACAAGTGTGAGACTTCAGTCAAGCCCCTCAAATTGGGAAAGATCAAAGCAGAGTGGGCAGTGTGTAAACAAGCCATATAAGTATAAAACTCAGTAGCATTCATTTTCTCTCAGCAAATATCCAGTGTTTATGGTGTAACAGTTCATGTGGTGTAATATTTATTCACTGCTTGGATTATGGTTGTTCGCTGTATCTTTTGCTCTAGAGCCAGGGCCTTGTTGGGCTTTCACTGAGGAAAGGAGGAGAGACCGACACCAGCATCGCTTATCCAGGCCCCTCAGCTCAAGGTTTCTTTGTTCTAGACAGTGAGCAAAAGGGGGAAAAAGAAAGCTATAGTGGAAGCTATTGTTCAGAAAATATGTACTGCCCTCAGAATGCCCTGGGGTTTTGCTGTAGCCCCCAGAATGGCATGATGTGGATGGATGTGTACAGGGTAAAGTTTCGGAATAGGCATGTGCTGTTACTGTGGGGATGGGGGCAGCTGCTGCTCCGTGCCCCGGCTGGGCTGCCCTGGCCGTGTAGGCTGGGGTGCAGGGTTCAGCCCAGGGGCCCGTCACCACCTCGGGCCCATCTGGGCTCTCTGCACCCAGGCCTAGAGAGGGCTCAACTGAGGGCACACGTGGAGCAGGTAGGTGCCGTGGCAGAGCTGTGGGCTCAATGGATGCCTCAGAGGGAGTGCTGTCAGCTCTGACCTCAGCACCCAGTCCAGGCTCGTGTCCTGTTCTGTCCCWTGCACAAGAGGCAGAACCATGAGACCAAGTCGCTCTTAACACCTGTGTGCATGAGGGCAGCCCATATGAACATGCAGATGGGGCTGTCCTCGCCTCTAAAATGCTTGTGGAGCTGCTGCTTAAAGGTTGTCAGGTGCCAGTCTTCTCTGCTTGCCTCATCTGTCCTGTTTTCACAAAGGAATTGCCGAACACTGAGGTGTTCTTTTTGTTGTTTTTTGTTTTTTCCCTTAATGTAACATTCATCAAGKAAGGCTGTTGTGACGCGAGTTGTGGACTTTACTAAACGAGTATTTTGCTACATGACTCTGGAGGAGGATGGAGGTTTGTCCCCATTTCTTCACTGTGGGGTTTGCTGTGAAGTCCAGCTGCCCTCACGTGGTTAAATGTGAGAAGTGCCGGGAAAGATTCAACTTAAGAAATCAGTAAAGCCAAAAAAATACCTTTTTTTCTTTTYCTTTTTTCCCCCTCATCCTCATTTGTGAGGTGTATTTCACAGCTATTGTAGTTTTTCAGTAACTTAGCAAACTGCTCTTACGTTGTGTTTTGATTGTTGGGAGACGTGGCCATGGAGGGTGGATGTGTGGAGAACCTGTCAGGGATGAACTTGACAAAAATATTTCTTAATTTCAGTTTTTCACCTGCGGCAGATGTGGGGCAGCCGGCCGTGTGACGAGGAGTGCCCATGCGTGCCAGACTCGGAGTTAGGCTGCACTAAGAGGGTGAAGGTTCTCAAGTCATAGGGAAGCAGCTCAAAAGTATGGATGGACATATGCATCAGGTAAAGCACATAGACGGCAGAAGTGTAGCTTGCTGAGCTGTAAGCATGGGCAGAATTAAGATTTGATGTGCTGAGAACAAGGTTATCTTGGAGAAAAAGGGGCAACGTTAGTGATTCCCAACTGACTTGCTGTCTCCTGTAGGCTCTAGCAGTGAAGGGACGTGCAGCTCAGGAAAGCCTGGTGCTCTGCTGGGAGACTTCCCTGGAGCCTCCCTCCCCCTGGCTGCCTGGGTCACTACRCGCCCCATTTCTGAATAATTTTGTCCTGGTTGTAGGTTTTTGCAGCTAGTGTTACTCTGTTAATTCTAAGTATTTGTTGCGTTCCCTGTTTGCTGAACAAGAACTCTTCCCAACTGAATTTGTCCAACAATATACAAACGGAAACCTGAGAAAAGGTGATTAGTCTGCAGAGGGTTTTCTCTACTTCATTTTCACATGCTGACATATATGCTTTGCTTTCTATGAAATTTATTTGCTAAAAACAATCCTTATTTAGAGTCCTGGCACACAGGAACACATCACTCAGCCACTTTTCAGAGAAATGATGCTCTGAGCTATTGTGATAGATGTTTGCACAGTACCAGCAATGCAGCAGTGACTGTTTCCTGAGGTAAAGGTGGTTSTGGAGCCTTGGCCTCTCCCTCAAGGTGTAGCAGTGTCGCACGTGATGGACGAGTGGATTTGGTTCCTTGCTACCTCTCTCTACTGCCTTTAACACTGAGGCCCTGAGCCTGTTGAGGTTATTTGGGTGCCGCAGCAAGGATTAACTGGCCAGCTCAGCAGAAATCCTAGAGCTGAATCTTATTGGTAAATACATTTATTTACACAGAAATAAATATGCACAGCTGCAAGAGTTGCTTGCATTTGATCTTCCTTTGCAAGACAGGTAGGATTTGCCGACTGTCCTTGTCTTCTCCCAGGAGCCATGGCCCCTGAGCAGCTTCACGCTGCTCCGGCCCGAGGCCATGGACTCGAGGAGCCCCTCCCGTCCAAGCCCAGCTTGGGGGGAGTGCAAGTCCGCAGCTATCACTGCGTCCCAGGCTGGCTGGAGAGAAGGCAGGTCCTCCAGGCCCCAAAATGTAAACACTTTATTTAATGCCTTTCACTCATCGCAAGGGATTTTTCCCCTCTCCCAGCCCCACACCCAAGATGGCAGCATCCGGCACCGTGCAGACGTGCACAGTCCACATGCCATCTGTGTGAGGTTCTAATACACAGCTGTAGTTCTTACTGACAATTCCAGGTGTCATTATCAAATGTACACAATAGGAYTTTTCTCCAGAGTTGAGCTGGAGAAGTTATTAATTTAGGATGGCAGGACTTTCCCTACCCACCCACCCCAAAAAGCCAGATTAAAAACACAGGTACAGAGTTTAATACCAGAGTAATGAGATTAGTTCATAAATTAAAAAAATACAAAAAAAAAAAAAGGACACATTTTCATTCTTATTTTCAGAAGGTCCCATGTGCTAGGAAGCAGTGCACAGAGCGTGCTCAGATTCCTTACTACATCCTCTTCCCCCTTCAAGGCAAGAAAAGGRGTGAGCAGACCCAAAATTTCCAGTCTTTAGTTTTGTTGGTGGTGGCAAAAAGGCAGTTAGGGCTCTGGGCCCAGCAGCCCAGAGCCCTGCAGCATCCCCAGGGGGTGGTCTGAAGACTTTTCCTTGTTCAAAGGAAGAARGATGTGACACAATATTCTTTGGCTGCAGGTTCTTCAAGGCTTCCACTTGAATGGCTCTCCTTCAAAAACAAAGAGAAGCTGCAGCTGCTGTGGGTTTTTTTAGTAAGGAAAATGCTGAGGAATGGGTGGAACTCAGGTAACAGTTTGGAGTGAGGCCCTCACAGTGCTAAGACGTTGGGATCAGCTACAAATATTCAAGTTCCAAGGCGTGCCGAAGAGCTTCCAGGTCGGCGTGACAAGAGATTCTCCAGAAGGGCATGTTGTGCTAGAGCAAAACCAAAAGAGGGTTTTTTTTTTTTTTTTTTTTTTTTTTTTTTTGTTTTTTATACTAAGGGCAGGTGCCCCCAGGCACGGAGCTGCCGGCCAGGCCGGGAGGCTCCTCTCAGAAAGGCCGGGAAGGAGGGGACGGGGCCACACGCTGACGCCCTGCGCGCCTGGGGCACCTTGTGAACACACGGGCTGCTACACTTGGTGCCCTCTTATTCTCCCTGCATTAATCAGGAAGGGTTCTAGAATTACAGCACCACTAGAAACAATTTCCATGCCACTTAATAATACATTATACAATATTAATAATACATTAATACCCACCCATTATGGCTACAGTAATATGCTATACAGGAATCTTGACTCTGGAGCAAGTGCCAATATCCTTTGCTATCACCCATACTCCAAGGCACAGATCTGTTTACTTCTCTTGAAAGCTCGTGTGAGGGCATCATAGACAAGTAAACGGTGTGTATACACATATTTTAAAAAAAAAAGAAAAATCACAGAACACTGAAACATAAACAAAATCTGTAATATCAGACAAAGTCAAAATGCTTTCTAAGAATTAATTTCCTTTCCCACTTAAATRGAACAGTAGCTCAGAGTGTATTTTCTGGTAATATAGAAACTGGTATCATTGCTCAGATCAGTTGTTCAGGTGCAATAGGATAATAACCAGTCTTTGAGAAAGTCAATGAATTCTCATTTAACAACGCTTAGGTACTCCCTCAGCCTACCTGTTTTTCAAATCAGATTTACTACGTTAAATCCAGGCTCACACATTAGCAAATGCTAATCAGTCAGTTCCTCCTGCCCTGTCTCCTGCAGCTGGATTAAACCTGGAAAGGGCATCTGTCTGTGAGCTACTCCCTCCTTATAGTTGGAGTGGGACCCAGTTCAGGAAAAGTGTGTAGATGTTCTTGGAAAATAAGACTTGCATCTGAAAAGGAGGAAATAACAGCTCTTTTTTGTTTGTGCTGTGAGATGACTAAGGGTCAGTGAGCCTTAAGCACCAGACATTACTTTCCTTCCAGTGTGGGAATGATTTCTCTCCCTCACCCACCCACCCCTTTTTTTTTTCATAAAGAGTAATTAAACTATAAACATATTGCCACARGTAAAAGGCCTGCACAAAGCTTTAGACAATCTCTATTTCCTAGACGGATAATTCCGATGAAGGAAGCTTCTCTTCCAAGTGCACCTACCTGTGCTAAAACAACACACCCGTGCCTCTAAATGTTGAGTTTAGAGTGTCTGTTTACACTCCTCTAACGTCCCTCTGGTATGTTGCCTATCAGTAAACAAGTATTTCCTTGAAGCTACTTATCAGTGTGTGCAGAGGCAGCAAACACAGACAGCTGAAGTGACTGGAATCCACTGCTCCGTAATTTCTCTTTAGAGGAAAAAAGTTATTTCTTTCTCCCACCCCATTCCATGGTGGTTATTAAACCCATTCCATTAAATTATCTATTTTTCTTTCTTTAAAGAGAAGAAAACTTGCCCTGCCAGCCCCTCCTGTTGTTCTGCTTTTACAGATTTATCACTCATCAGACAGGAGAAGAAAAATGACCCACCAAAATGGAGATATTATCAGTGCTGTCGGCAAAACAGTGAAAGGCTCTGCTTTGCTTTTTTTTCTTTTTTGTATAAAGCTCAGGTGTGTAGCAGCCTTGACTAATGATTGTCATCAATCAAAGGAGGCGACAGCCCAGCAAAGAATGTGCTCCAATAATGGGAGAGCTGCTTAGGCCAGGAGACACAAGCAAGAGGGCTCCTGACATCCTGCCCATAGAAGATCATTGAACCTTCCCACTTCCTCACACTRCCCTGAGCCCGGCAGCCTTTGATGCACTCCTGTGCACTGACCCTCTGCCTTTGAAGTTCGGCACTGGGCTGTCAAAAGCAGCAGCCATTATCACTTCATTGCCATTTGGATTCTCCTCTGAGACTCCTTAACCCTTCATGAACCAGAGAACCAGCTACAGCTGTGGCTTATTCTTAAAAGGGAGGCTTATTATCATTGTTTCCATTGATAAGAGGTAACAAATATATAAAAGAGAACATTTCTGATGCTTCAAAGATGCTGTGAGACAGAATTCTGGGGACAGGGCATGTGCCAATTTATTGCCTTGCTTGCTGGGATCCCTTTCTTGCTTGGAGGAACTTCCCTCAAAATGGCCTTTCAGGTCCTCCAGCACAAAGTTTAGCTGCTGTGATAAAATTAATACACACCCCTTGAGCTGCAGCAGGTACTTGGGTGCCTATTAAAAAAACTAATCCATTTGCTGGAGATGAGGCTCGTGCAGCCAGTTCCTGCAGCGCCGCTTGCGGCAGCTCTCTGCACACCGAGCAAATGCAGCTCGGCCGCATTCCCACGCGTGTCGGGAGCCCAAGACCCAGGGTGCACAAAATAGTCCTATGCTGCAAATGCATTTACTGTAATGACTTTAGGCCCTATGACCCCACTGAATAACATACATATATAGCATGGATATGTAGATATATAAAAAAAAAAAGCACACCAAAAAAATTCCACGGGTTTGTAATTTATAGCAGTAATGTGTATAGAGCAGAAGTTGACCCTGCTTGCTGATCTGAGCACACACATGGAGTTTTCCTTTTCATGTGTTCAAAGCCATCATTATTTAAGCRAGAATAAACCCAGGAACACATGGCAGTATAGGGACTACCTAAAAAAATTGCACTAGCTGCTGAGGTGGGAGATTTACAGTAAGGAATTTCTCAAAAMGTTGTTATTTTGCACATTAAGAAATGAGACCAACTGCAAACTGTTTCAAAGGGAAGGAATTTCTTTACAACTTAAATAAACAAAGGGCCACTGAAACRAAAACTTGGAAGAATCCAGGATGGCATCCACCAACTGTACCTTTTTTGCTCCCTGTTCCTCTTCCACACCATCTCCTATTACAATATACACGGCTTTTCTTCCAAACCTTTGCATTATCCTTTCAAAACAGCTCTCTTTGCCTGAGCAACAGAAGAGAAGACACATTTGTTACCTGGACACATGTGGCAGGTAGAGCTGACGCTGCAGCTGAGAGCTCGTTAGCTTTGCCTCTACATTCCTYATTTTCTGTTGAAATGAGACCCTAAGTGAATCTCCACTCAAGAGGGAGACTCTCTATCACATGACAGCTACTAGCACTTACTTATCAATTAAGGACTTCCAAGTGCTGCCGGAAGTTTTCCATAAGCTGATGGACACCCGATCCTTTGCTCAGCCCAGGTACAGTTTGCTACCCTACAGGGTGAAGTGAYAGTCATGGCACTCAGTTTGGAAGAGGCCTTTTCTGTTCACTGCACCCTGCAAATGTTCACCACTCACGGAGTCTTCCTAAAACTCCATCCCTCTCCCTTAGAAACAGGATCCTGACTGGGCTTTTGCAACAGGTTGAACCCGACTGTCTTCTTCCTAGCTGGATGCAGTGGGGCATCCTGTGTGCCAGAGATGCTCCAGAGAGTGGTTATCATTAAGGCTCTCTTACCCATGGAGATATATTTGGAAAGACTTAGATTTTCAGCAGTCTTTTCAGCAGTCTAGCTTATATATCAGCAGACAGGCTGTGAATTATGGATGTGCCAACAGTGCCAAAAATAAAGCTCATATGTCACTTGGTGCAATCAATTGGGCAGACCTGTCTGATGCAGGGACAAAACTTCAGTCAATCATTGGCTGAGGCCTTAATTCCTTTGCTCTTACCTGTTTTTGTAGCACTGTAAATATTTTCAATGGGGAAGACAGTGCCCAGTCCATAGAGCAGCACTTTCGCGAGAGCTGGTATTAGCTGAGTTGTGGTGACCAACACATTCACACAGTTAGACCTAGAAGACAGAAATGTGAACAGGAGTGGCCATCTGCGCGTCCCTCTCCCACTCGGAGCTGCCGGACGGCAGGAAGCAGAGCTGTCCTGCAGCGGGAGGGATGGCTCCCAATCACTGCGGGCTGCGCAGCCCGAGGCAGGCTCCAGTACTGGCCACGTCACCTTCATAAATCAGTGGAATGGCAAAAAATCACAAAAGAAAGCAGCAGTGATGCAGTCTTACTGCATGCATGCATTTTGTGGGAATTGAGACACTGCAAAGTTATGTCCATGCTGGTTTCTTTGCATGTACATTCTCAGGGACCTTTTCTCCCTTTCTATTCTCTTGGAAACCTGCTCATGTATCAGGTGTGCCACAAATAATGTAGCCAAAGACAGGCAGGAAGCAGGACTGCGTTTTCTTTTGCTCAGTTCATCATCTTGAGCCCACTCAACCCTTGATAATACAAGTCTGGCAAACACGTGCAGACAGGCCTCCCACAGGCTGGGCCAGCAAAGTGCCATAAATGTGTCTCGATTTGTTTAGACGGGGGAAAAGAAGGGAAGCAAAGGAGATCCTGGATCAAGCCTGTAGGCAATTCTTTAAGCTGTTCTTACCGGGAATGTATCAAATTCAGAGCCTTCAGAGCATGTGTGAGCCAGAGATCAGTCAGCGCTTCAAGCTCTGCTCTCAACTGCAGCCAGGTTTCCCTCTTAGGAGCACCTATCAAACCTGCAGGCAGGGAAACACCTTTCATAGGCGCAGAGAACCGCGCGCGGCGCCCGAGGGCCCCGGCCTCCTGCTCTCCCCAGCAGCGCTCCGTGTCCAGCCCTTCCCACCGCCCTTCTCCCGTTCCTGGCAGGGAGCTCTGCCCATCCCAGCACACTGCTACACTACGAGTTCTCCTGTGGAAAAAACATAATTGGGTTGGGACTTCCTGCATATTTACTAAACAACCTGGAAAACTGGGAAAATTCCTTCCCTGCTGAAGGGATTCTGTAAAGCTCAGACTTTGCTCCTGACCCGAGCACCGCAGCAGGCACCGGTGAGCAGCACTGGTTCAAGGCTGGCGGCTGCAAAACTTGCTCAGCTCAGGGTGAAGTCTCCARCCCGGCGGCCTTGGTGCCTCCTCCGGAGCGCGTGCCCAGCAGAGCGGCATGGGGAGGCTGCAAGATGAAAGGCCAGCGGTGACACTCACCGCCTACGTTGTTTTTGTAGGTGTTGTACATCTCCTTGACGCGCCGGTAGCGGAATGCCAATTTCCTCATCCAGTCGACTCCCCCGTGAACGCCCGAGCCCAGGCACAGGTTGGCGCTGGCYGTCGAGCTGTGGAAACCGTCTGAGGAGAAGTTGTACGTGCTGCGGGAGGGGGGAGAGTGCACGTGGTCAGCGCGACTACAGGCGATGACTACAGGCATCGCCCTTCCCGCAGGGAGCAGCGACAGCCGGTGAGCACCGCGGTGACACGCGGCGGCCGAGCCGAGCGGAGGCGGCACCGCACAGGAGCAGAGTCCGTCCCTGCCGCCTCCTGGGCTTCYGCGAGTCACCGCGAGGTGCCACCCTGTCCCCGTGCTCCGGGGCCTCAACACCCACCTCCTGATTTACTGCACAGCAGTTTCCCCTTCCAGACAGCCCTGAGGCCACTTTAATTCTCTACTAGAGAATTCAGATAAGAGTTCAAGTGTGTAACACACTTCAGTCATCTCGGCTTCATTTCCCACGCAGACAAGCCCCAAGCAGCACTCCTGCAATGACTGTAACCATTTAGCTTGGGTTGTCAGAAGATCTAAGAGCTGCTCTTAGATATTGGCTTTTCTCACTCACTCAGCATGGGCCASTGCAGTGATTTATTTGATGGAAAACTCAAATTATTGTTTTAATTACTGGCTGAAGAGCTCTGCAGACTCGCCCTCTTTCAGGCTGCCTGAGCATAGACACGCGGGTCCCGCGCGTTGCAAAGCACAGACCTGCACTGCAGTTACACTCAAACCTGAACGACGTTCCCTGCACCAACTCTTTTCCCTAAAACTCTTATGTTGTGTTCTATGCTGCTGCTGTAGCAATTTATATATCCAGTTTTTATATCAATTACACAACCATAAAAACAGAAATCATAAAACTGTGAGCTCTGCACATCTCACTCCTGCACCAGCTACCACAGTGTTGCAGGAAACACTTCAGGGAAAGGAATATGTAATTGCACAGAAGGAGCTTTTGCAAACATGATGGACTTGGTTATACACAAAATATTTGGTGCAGTTTTACTMCAAGTTGCTACTACTGACAGCAGCTCGCCTTGGCAATATCCTCAAACCTYCCTACCAAACCCATTCATTGCAGATGAGCAAACATTTCAGTCTGGTTTCCAAAGACATGTGTGCCTGTTTCGGCCAAATTTCCTTGCAGATGCACTACCATGTTCATGGTGGACTGTGCTTTTATTCTAGCTTCATGCTCCTGTAGTTTATTTTCTGCTTTCCCATAGGTGGCAGGAGCCCTTGGTGTAGGGCATGAACATGACAAGTTTCTAAAGCACTGGCACAGCCTGAAATGGTCCAGTGGCCCCTATGCCAATTGGCTGGCCAAATCACACCAAAACTGGTGCCGGCAGACTAGTTCAACCTAACTTTAAACATATTTCCCCAAGATAGCTCAGCGCCCAGCCCTGCAAGGGCTTGGCAGGAGACACAAGCACTTTAATGTGCAAAAGGGGACTGGGTGCTGCTGTGTGCTTGATAACTGCAAGGGGTACAGAGMCAGGGAGGGGAGCGAGCACGTGGGGACGCGGCCACGAGCCATCGGTGGCCACTCTCCAACAGSTGGGGAGCGCCTGGGCTGCCGCTCCAGCCTGGACACCCCTACCTTAGATCCTGTCCGTTGTCATCCGATGACACATCATCTATGTGGATCTGGTCACAGTCCTGAGAAGCGTGTGGAAAAAAAAAAATCACATGGAGAAGTAAATGAGTTGCAAAAGAAACCCTGCAAGAACATGTTTCCTTAATGAAAAATGACTGTCAGGTYATACTGCGAAGAGGAAGCCTTCCATGTTGCCAGCACCGCCCAGCACAGTCCAGCTCCTTCCTCGTTACACACAAGCATCACACAGTGCTTGTGCAAGACACGAACAGAGCAGTGCATGATCTATAGCTACCTAAGGATGCAACAGCTCTGGAACAACACAGTGAGTGAAACTGCTTCCTAAACAGACAGCAGGAAGAGAGATGCTTGCATTTTAGCCTGGAAAACTATGTTTTTTTTTCTTAACTATATGCATGATAAGGCATCGATTTGGCAGCCTCTTCCTCTGGGAGAAGAGCACGTTGGACAGGAGGTGTTTGTCCACACAATTTCAAGCAGGGATCTGCCCAACAGAAATTTCCAGAGGCACCTGGCCTGCCGGCATTTTCCCTACACTTATGAGGGTTTCAAGCACCTCTGACGTGCCAGGGCACTAAGCAAGGCACCTTTCACAGCCCCTCACCACAAACAGAGCTAAGAAGTCATGTGTGACAGCAATGAGGAAACCCACACACAGGAAATTTAAACTGATTATCCCTGTGGTGCCACGCCGGCATGAGGCACGTCCCGAAGATCTTATCGGCCAACGATCCTCACTGTTCGAGTGGTGGAGGCCTCACCTCAAAAGCTTGAGATGTTGTTTCTATGGTTTCTTTGTGGGAAGAGAAAATCAGGAAGCTTCCCCTAGGTCCCTTCTCCACAACCCTTGCAGCTGAAGATGTAACACGAACTCCCTGCATTTGGGCTCACTCGTGAGGACATGGAAAGCGCAGCAGGGGCCCCAGGTCTCCTCACCAGGGACAACTGCAGCTATGCATGGCCACTGCCCTCGCCCCTTTCAGTGCCCTGCACAACCTGCTCTACCAAATGAGGAGTTTCGTAAATTACTTCCAATAAWGCTCTTTTCAAAATGAAAAAAATCCCGAACGAGCAACCAAGCTTGACATCCAAAGCACAACGCCACAGGTGCCTGTGATCTAGTTCTGTCCCCAAAGATGACATCTGCTGCAGTGCTCACAGGGGGTAACTCTCACAAAGACACCCAGTTTTACCTTCGACCTCTTATAAAGCCCCGCTGGGGAGTCCGCTGTGCACGAGAGGAGCCGAGGGCAGCAGAGCCGCTCTCTGCAGGCCCCTCTCCCTCTCCTGCCCCTTGTTTGCAGGCACCTCCACAGCTGAGGGCCCTGCCGGGACCCTGCTGCTGCGGCAGCTCCGCTGCCGTCGTGCAGAGCATTAAGTCAGTGGAAAGGTATTTGCGGAGGGATCTGCTTTTCTCATCTGTGAATGAATTGTTCTGTACACTGAAGTGTGACAACAGTAACTATCACATTTCTGACTTAATAAAATACCATGACACTGGGTGAGACGCTACCTCATAGTCCGGCAGCTGAGCCTCTCGTGTTACTGGGCGAAAAGCAGGGAAGCTGCTTGCAGGAAGAATGCGGGCCGTGTTTTACTGCTTGGTTACGAGGCTAATTTTTCATTCTTGCCAAATTCCCTTGAACTCTCAGCACACGGGGAAGCGGGGCAGGACTCGYGGGCTGCCAGGAGGGAGGGCCGGCCTGTCGGGGCGCACAGCAGCAGCGGCGGCACTGGGAGCCAATGGTCCTGAGCTGCCCGCAGCAGCAGTGCCAGGCCCCTGCACCCCCAGCACGGGAACGGGGCRCCTGGGTACCTGCTTCTCCAGGAAGGGTTCGCTTGTGGCCAGCAGAGCCATCGGAGCGCTCTGCAGCAGCCCCTTGCAGCAGAGCGTGGCAAGTTAACATGCCAGTGCTGCAGAAACCTGGCAGAAACCTGGCACAAAGGGCTGCTGGCAGCCCGCCCGTCACCTGCTGCGCTGACAGCCTGTGCCCACTGCAATCACCCCCTCCTTGTCTTATTCATTTTGTGGTATGAGAGCAGCAGTGCAAAATGCTGCCCAGCATTTTCAAAGACAAGTCACCTGTGCAAYGCCACAGAGGAAAACTCTGCTGCTCTGCAGTCTTGGTAAAAAAATATAACATGGTGCATAGATCCCTGGCCCGGCAGTACCAGAACCCCTGGCAGTGGCTGCTGCTTTGCACAGCACTGCAACCTGCAGCCTCCACAGTTAGGCCACTGCTCTATTGCTAAAACAGGGTAAGAACTGATTTCCCACCCTCAAGTCACACCCCCCAGCTGTCCCTAGGTGCTGCCTGTTGGGAGCCAGCGGTGCCGCTGGCGGGGACAGGAGGGCTCCCCAGCTGCCCAGGCACTACCACTGGTGCCACCAAACCTCTGTGTGGGTGACAGTCCCCAGAAAGAGCCCTCTGCTCCCGTCTATCCAGGACAACTCTCCTGCTGCCTCCTGCCTGCGCCTGTACAGCTCAGTTTTGGACCACATGATGGTGCTGCCGTGCAGGGGAACCTCCAAGGCTCCAGCACTGCAGCAGTTCAGTGCTGGTTTTGTTCCTAGGTTTTCTTCTTCTTCTTTTTTTTTTTTTCCCTCAATATATCATTCATTGCATCTGCTTCAAGAATAACACCTACTGAGCTATCATCCTTAAACATCACTTGGTGACTGCCCCTCCTTAAAAGACTTTCATTTCTCATGCGAGGCCAAGGCGCTGGACGGCTGCTGGACACAGATGGACGGCTGCTTTGTGGCTCCTATTGCTGCAAAGTCTTCCAGGCAGAAATGGCCCTTTTTGCAAAGCAAGTTTATGCAGAGGACATTCACCCTGCAATTCTCCCTCATCGCTCATTGTTTCCTTGAATGCGCCCAGGTAATATAAAACACCTTAAGTTGTTTTTGATTTGCCGCYTGAGGTCTAGAAATCACAGGAAAAAAAAACTTCAAACTAACTTCTTATAATTAAAAATTTTGCTCTGCTCCAGTAGTTAAAGAAGAATTTGAGAGGCCTTGGGAGACCTAAGGAGTCTTCTAGCAGCCAAACCTGTTACAGACTGACAAATGTGCAGAATTTGACCAAGGCCAGACAATTTGCTGCTTTATTTTGCGTTTTATAGTGGTAAGTAAAGCCAGGAAAATTTGTTTTAATATGATTTGCACACTTAAATCTTTTATAAACAGGGAAAAACATACACTCCAAAAGGTTTTGGCTTTGCAGACAGTGCTGTCAGACCTAGCACTGCCCCAGACAGAAAGAACTTCTTGCCCTTGCCCTTTAGCGCAGGAACTCACCCCAGCTCAGCCTCTCTGCAGAACTGAGCTCCCAGTGGAACAGGGACCAGTTTTCAAATCTCTGCACTGGCTCACATTGCTACGTGTCCCCTARGATCCATGCTAATTTAGCTTAATAAAATTATTAAATAGCAAATTTCAGGAGAAGCAGCAGGAATGTCCTCATTATTAGATTTAGTAAAACTGCCAAAAGCCATCATTGTTACTCTGAATCTAAAGAAAAATCCTTACAAAGGAAGATGTGAGAGGGACACAGAAGGGTATGCTTGCAATAAGGCGGCTGCAGCCCACTTGTTTGGGGTCACTAATGAAAGTTTCTTGGMCAGAAAAACAAGTTTGTAGACCCGATGCAAATCATCGGAAAGAGAAATGCTAGAGAATATAAGCAGCTACATACCTCCAGGTCATTAAAGAACAGATGCGTATCTGCAAGGTTGAAGATCATTTCTTCCATCATCAGACCTATCCGCACAGACGTTGTAGTGTCCTGTCAGGAAAAAAGAACATTTTTTCCCAGTCATTTGGACTTTCCTTTTTGGGGAAGAAGGGCATGGGGTGGGGTGTCTTAGAGCAAACACAGGATCTACAGGTTCCTGTTTCCGTAGATACATTCATTAAAACCATTTATTTCTCAAGTGTGTCTCAATGGGATTTTCCCACCCTTTCTTTTGCTCTTCTACATAACCCAGTTCTGCTCTTTCAAGGACACCTATGGTCCCCCCTTGACCCAGAATAGGCCTCTCGTTTCAGAGGAGGATAACAAGAAACTTTACACCCAGGTAGATACAGGCGTTAAGAAAACATCCAAGACGAGACCCTGCTCACTCAAGGGCAACTCAGCCAGCCCGCCCCAGGCCGCCTGGCGCGGGTCTGCGGTGCTGCCAGCCCTCCCCTTGGCCAGGTGCTGGCTGTCCCACGGCTCCCGCGCTGCTGGAACACGTCCTTCGGGATTAAAAGAAGGTGAACACAGAGGTACAAGCAGTTTCAAAACACCTTCCACACACTCTTAAGCATGCGTGAACTTCCTCACATCCCGGCTTGCTCCTAYCCGAGTTGGTGGTTTATAAAACCTTAGCTGAATTGCCCCGTAGGGCTGCGCTACCTGCAGCCTGACCAGAGCTCAGGACTTCCAAAAGCTGCGGATCACGGATGAAGGAGCTGCCCTGGGGCGAGCACAGCTCTGCTGAGCTGCTCTGCACGTCCCTGTGCGGGCCCAACATGTGGGAACGCTCCCAAGAGACCTGCTGCATCCAGCCTCTCACGCAGCTCCGCTTTAAATGAGTCTCAGTCCCTTCTCCACATCTCCCAGGCCCAAACGCAGCCCTTGGGTAACCCACCTTCCTTTCTACCTGCTGCGAAAGCCCAGAAGCACCTCGATGCCAGCAGGCTCTGCAGCAGCACATTGGCTTAGTCATTAAACACTCCAAAAACGCAAGCAAAAATAATCTGTGGTTAATAAGCTGTTCACCCTCAGTGCAAAAGCCTTGCGCCTGCTCAGACTAAACAGACAACTCAAAAAGGGTTCCCACCACAGGCCTTTATTTGCAATTTATCTTCATTAGGACAGGGATCTCTCATCTTTATGTTTATGTGGGTGGTTTCCCCTCCACAGCAGTTACAAGCCCTGCTAAAACAAGGCAGATTTATATGTAGTCTTTCCTCTAATTTTTTGCAGATTTCRGCTGAGCTCTGTTATTTTACTGCAGGCCAGCAAGGCATTTGCCGAGGAGCTCTAGCAGGGCACACGATGCTTGGGGATGAGGGCATTTCTATTGATCTACTTGTTTGCTCTAGGATTCTCCGGGCTTAACCTTCCCTTAACCCTCCCAAATCTCCYGTGAAGCCCAAAGGCACTTGTGGCCGAGTGCAGGGATACCAGGACACCCGTCCATGGCCCCGTGCAAGCGGCTCTCCATCAAGTTTTACTGCCCAGGTGTAGTGACACGGGGGAGCTGTTTTGGGGAATATCTGCTGCTAGGAAGGAGTGACTTTGTAAAATAGTTTTTAATGAAGCAATTTATTTTTATACGTTTCAAGGATCATTTGCTGTTAAAACCTCTTTTAGGAAGTCTCACTGGTTGGTATCTGTCATTTATCCTCTAAATTTTGTCTTTAGCCTTATTGGTATTAATCACTAATGGAGAGTAGAGAATGTTTCCACAGTGTATGAAGTTACCTTCTCTTAAACCAAACAATATGAGGATTAAATTGTACACGAGGGGGGGAAAAAAAGTCTCTCTCTTGAGATAGAGAATGTGATGGAATGAAAATAAAACAGAAAAATGCACTTTACCACCCAGAGGGGAAGCCRTCTGGGGAAATGATCTGGCGTCGCTGCGCTCTCAGTGTGGACATTTCCTCCACAGCAAGGCCCGCTTCCAAGCCTGGAACGGGCTGATAAAGGTAAAAGGCAATCGGCGCTCTCGGTGAGCGCGAGGCGCYGAGTCGAGGCTCCGGGGTAGCTGTTTATCGGGTCTCGGCCGCATCTACAAGCCCCTGTCCCAGGCTTGAGCCCCACTGGGCCCCAGGCTGAGCCCACGCAGACCGGAGAAACAGGCCTCCAACTCCAAGCATGGGATAAACAGGGGAGACGGACCAGTGGGAAAGCACAAAACAACTCAAGTGTTTCAATCAACAAGCTGTCAAATTTCTCTGTGTGGTTCGTAAAGGATGTGAAAGGGAACTGCGATGTCGTTCAGACAGTGATAAGGGGAGAGAGGCGCCTTTGGCACGGGACATCCTGCAGCGCCGCAGCGGATGCCCTGGCAGGTGGCAGATGCCCATGTTCGAGCAACACCCCCCTGCTCTGTCCCCAACGAGGGTCCTTGTTAATCACTGGACCTTTCCCTCGGCTGAGAGGTGCACCCTGTGAGAGCATGAACCAAGGATGGGAGGAGATGGATCCTCCTCCCGCAGCCACCGCTCGCGCTGCAAAGGGATCCACCTGAGAACCCAACCCTGGGCGCCTGCTCGGAAGCATCGGAGGAGCGGGGTCCTACCCCCTTGCTAGTCTCCCCACACAACTCAAAGCAGGCATGGAAAGCTGCTAATAAACTCCATCTACAAGCACCATCGGTCTGGGAGCCCCTGCACCCTTCTCTGCCACGCACTGCCCTCGGGGCTCACTCCACACCGCACTAGCCTAGTCCTTGCATCCATTTACATTTTAAAATTACAATTTGAGACAACGTCTCTACGCAAAAGCTAGTAATATCCCACCTAAAATTAATTTTGAAAGCACAAAATCTTCTATCAAAAGCTTATTTCAGCTCTGCAAATGTGGCTTTTTCTTTACCAGTACTTTAAAGATAAAAAACAAAAAGCATGGAATTGCTTAACCTTCAGCACACCAAGCAAACTCTCCAAGGACTGTGTCTGCTCCCACCCACAGCCCAGGGCTTGCAGAGTTTGGGTTCAGGCTTCCCCCTGCCCTTAAAGAAAAAAAAAATAAAACACAACAATATACAAAACAAAGCCCTGCTACTTTAATACAGCCCTACCATTGCAACCCAACCAGTCTCAAAACCCCTGCCAAATACCTGCTTGTSCTGTGAGCAAATAATTGCTTTTCTACAAGGAAGTAGGTATTAATTAAGAGCATTTGTCAGACTGCCATCCTGCGGGGTTTATCTGGCCCAGGTGTCAGCCAGAGGTGAGGGCTGGATTAGGCAGCAATCACAGGCTCTCCAGCCAAACCTCCTCCCATGCTCAGCCCTTGATAACAACCTTGTCACCAAAGGGGAGAGTTTAAGAGTTTTAATTGAGTTTAATTACTTGGAAAGGCCTGAAAAAAATATTTTTTTTTATAAAGTAKTAGGAAAAGTTCAAGCCCCAAAATGGAGAAATATTTGTAAAGAAATGGTGGGCCCTGCTAAGCGGGGTGCAGGGAGCCCAACRGCCCCGCAGCGACAAACACAAGGGACTGCTCCCAACACACGTTGGGCATAGCCAACCGCCTGGCATTATTTACTCCCCTATCTCCAATAACAAGCTAATAATTGAGAGAGCAGCATGTCTAAAGCAACATTTTTCTTTATTACCTGTTACCTGTGGTGATTGAATGCTGTTTTAATTTAATTTTAAAAGGCATTAAACACGAGGTTTAGCCTCCAGCGGGCGTAAAAATCTCCAACTTCCTCAGAAAATCCTTTCCAAATTGTATTCATCTCGACTTAATCCACAATCTACCGAGTGAATTAGGCTCTGTTTGTTTTGAAAGCCCGCATTACGGCGTCGCGAGGCCCGCGCTTCCCCGGCCGGGCCGCGTCCGCGCCCCACGCCTCCCATCTGGCAAAACGCAAGCAAACACAGCTGAGCCGGGCAGAAACGGGGCGGTCTTCTCATCAGAGAAATCAAATAAACAGATGTCCCRCCGCACTTGGGCTCGCGTTTGCCAGAGGGACGGAAACGCCTCGCACGAGGGCAGGCCGCGGCCGGGGCACACGGAGCTACGTGACCGGCCTCGCGGACGGCGCCTTCCCGCCGAACCCCAGCAGCTCCCGGGCGAGTCCGCAAGGGCCCAGCAGTGAAATGGGGTTTTGTGCCTCCTGGCCACGAGGAGCAGGAACCTCCCTCCACTGTGATCAAGCTGCACGGTGCCTCTGTCAGCGCTGGTGTCCGAGTGAGGCGGCAGAGGAGCTGCTTGAAGCATTCTGTGACAGCAGAGAAAAGGGATTTTTGCCTTTTTTCAAGGCAAATTTTGGCAGGAGACAGTTTATTGACTTAAATTTAAGAAAATTATGTGTAATGAAAGATGCTGAATGATCTCAGAAGATGCTATGCATAGGAAGGGGATTTTTAGAGATTGTAATGCTGTGGATGGCCTGCACTGTCGATCCCACAAAATCATGTGTTTACGCTGACCTCTGCMTTTTGTTCTTTAATTTGGTGCTAAAATTAAATCACTTCTATTTGGTTCCAGGATTTTAGAATAACAGTTTCACCAAAATACAAATTTTAGTTCTATATTTTACCTCAATCACAATCCAATTCGACACTAAAGTCCACTAAAGTTTTGCCCAGAAGAGTAACAAACAGAATTAAACAGCACATTCTGGGGAAACACTGAAAAAAGCACAAAATCCTGGGGAGAATCCACACAAATCTCTTAGTAAGCAAAAACAACACACCCGATGCYCCCTTTTTTCTCCATTTTACTCCTTTAAAAAGCATGAGACTGAATMTAACATACAATATATAAATTTCCTTCACTGAAAAGAGATGCAGAAATATATTTTTTAAATGTTTTGATAACAAAGTTTACGGAACAAGCTTGCAAAGTGCTCAGAAGTCAGGGAAAGAGGAATAGACTCGTSGTTTTCTTTGGCATGGGAGTGCTTGCAACCTCTTTTTATTGTGTCTGAAGCTAATACCATTAAAAAAGTCCTCCTGCACTGTGCCTCGCTGCTGCAAACGAAGGCCAAAAACCCCACGTGCGCCTGCTCCTGGGACAACAGAGCATCTTCCCTGTTCTTCCCATCGCGTTTTGTCCACGGCTCTTTGCAGATGTGGAAAGGGTTGAATTCACCCCCATCGAACATGGGCTTTATTAAGTACAACTCAGGGGATTAACAGGGCTGGGGCGGGGGGCRGTACCTTAAGCTATAGTAGTGGCCTATGTCTGTTGTGGTCTGCAGGCGCAGKGTGAATATTCTGCACCCACACGGCRATGGGAAGGCTGCAGAACAGGTTTCTGAATCCTCTCAAACATAATACCCAGGGCTAATTGGGTCTGGGACTTTTTCTTCTCTTTCCCCTTCCCTTAGCGAGAGGGCCTCCCGCCGAGGAGCGGAGGGCGGGAGGCTTCGCCGGCGCGGCCGGCGCGGCCGCCCTGGCCAGCTCGAGCGCGACACAGGCGGCCGCCTCAGGGAAACGACACGGGGCCCTCGGCAAAGGGAAGGGAGTCAGGACCCTGCACGGTGCGTTTTGCTCCCCAAGGACCATTTTCAGGACAGCTTCCTCCTACCAGGGCCACCAAGGAAGTGGCAACAGGCAGAAACTTCAAGAACTGAGCCCCAAACGTGTGAAACTGCAGTTACCTCCCTGTCTCCTCTGCCTAGAAAAGCCCCTAGAAACATCCAGCTTTGCCAGCAGCGCTGCTGCTTCACCGAGCGGCGACATGGCAGCTACAGTGCACCATGGAGAGGACAATATAGGGACTTAATACAGATATATATAGGGACCTCCACCAGAGGAATGGTGAAGATCATATAAGCTGGCACTTTTGAAGAACGCGCAGGGAATCCCTACACGCGAGATCAAATTCAAAGTAGGTACTTGTCTAACTAGAGCCAGGTGAATCCATTAAGAGAGAAAAAGTGAAAAAGTTGGAATTTTATGCCCTGATATTAAGACTTTACTTCGAGATTAACACTTCCTACACTACTCAAGCAGGAAATTCAGAAACTCTCTGAAGCTCTGGCTCACAGCTTCACCTGCGCTTGATAATTCAGCTCTCTTAAACATTTCTGAAGTGCGTTTACTCTTTAATGGCTCCCAGGACAGCCTGCCTGAGAGGCTCTAGTTCCCCCTTGGTTTAAGGGCTGCTCCAGAGCCTGCTGAAGCCTCAGGTTGTCTTTGGATCAAGCTGTTAGCCTATAATGCTTTCATAACACAACCATTTCCCTTAGAGAAAAGCCCTGCGGAATTTAATACTGATGAAACAAACGAGGGAGCAAGAAAAATCCTTCTGCAGAAGTTTCTCCAAAAAAAGCCTGTGGTAACTTAGTTAAAAAGGTGATCCGCTCAAACAACAAAAAAAAAATTAAAAAAAAAGGCAAACWAAAAACCCTTCTTTGTAGCAGTCTTTACATTTGTGCACTAGGTCACACAAGTTGGTGCTTCCCGATCCGGCCTTGCTCTTGCTGCTTTTTGCCGGCAGCTCGCTCTGAGCACGCACATATACACTTATGCTTGGAAAAAAGAAAGCACTTAGCCACCCTGGACAACACGGTTGAGCAAAGCCCTGCCTGGAAACACGCGCCTGCTTTTCCGAGGGCCCTGCTGGAAGTGTTAGCAGCCTTCCCACTGCCGCAGCAACTTCCACACCACAAACACCCTCCTATATCCTTTACAACCGCGCACATCTAACAGTGAACAATAAATCTATCTCACTAATTACACGTTCAGCTTGTTATAACCGTCGTAAAACAAGTACAGCTGGGAAAGCCATGAAATGATGTCAAATCATATTTCTGCTTTCTCGAGAGATGCAGGCTTATTTTCCAGCCTCTGACTGTTCAAAGTCATGTGTGGAAACAGCTGCCAAACAGGTCATCCACCTTTAATTAGGTAACGATATTGTCTTTTTTCCTACCCATTTAAAAGTGTTTGACATTCCGTAATTCAAAGTGACTTAAGTGTTTATCATGAAAAAACTGCTGCAGGAGGAAACTGAAGCACATGGTACTAAATCCAAGTGCCAACGTTTTCCCTGTAGCAGCCAAGTTCAGTCTGTTCAGCCACAGAGTTACCTAAAGCCTTCACTGTATCCAAAATACCCGAAGGGGACAGTTGAGCAAGGGGTGTCTAAAGGCCTGGAAAAAGGAAGGCTGCAGTGGCCCTGTGGGAAGAAGTGCTGCTAYTCCTCCTGGCAACCTGGGCTAGGAAGCACAAAAGCTCTGCAAGAAGCTGTTGGCCAAGAGTCGGACAAAATCRGTGGTCTAACCAAAAAACACGTTACCTCACCCAGGCTGCAGCTGCYCGTGGAGAGGAGCAAGCACGCAAGCACATCGCGGTGTCCCACCTAGCAGCCCTCCAACAACAGCGGCTCTTGAAAAACAAGAGGCTACTTGCAGCACGAAAGGGAAACAAATTAAATTTGCACATGTCAGGAGGAAATACCACAGGACATATTTATATGAGTGCGTCTGAACAGGACTGGCAGCATCTGTTTGAAAAGCTGCCTTATTAGCTGCCCCCACAGTTCCCGATGCAATTTGGCTGGACAAGCCATAATGGCAAAAAAAGAGACAAATCAAATTTTACCTTCCCGTATCTGGATGCAAAGGTTCCCGTGAGTAAGGAGTGAAAAATAATTATCGTCTCATCCAAGTCCCACACAAACACACGCTGCGATGAGATGAGGCAGGGAAAAAAAAAAGAAAGAGTGGCATGTTAGGAATCAGCTCAGTGAGGAAACACGCTTTGGGAGGCATCRGACCACAGGGAGCCCAAGCAGAGGTGCCTCCTGCACACCCACCTTGGGGGGACACAGCAGCAGCCCCCGAAAGGGTGCAGAAGGGAAAAGAAAAAACAATTCTACAAGTGACAAATCGCCCGAGACGTTGGTCCCACAGGAACCAAACCACGATACTGGTTTCACAAGTTCTACCGGCCCCAGCCCCGACAGCGGTTTCATTYTGGCGCTGGGGCCGTCCCCAGGCTCCCCTTGCCTGCTGTGCCCGGCAGGGACGCGGCTGCCTCACCTCGATCTCGTTGTCAGCGGGAGGGGAGGGATCGGTGCTCCGCTTGGAGCGCGTCCGCACCTTGCCGTCCGCGCCTCGCAGCTGCCGCTCCACTTCGGTGTCCTTCGCTGGCGTCGTGGAGTACTCCCCTGTGGYGAAGGGCAAAGGCTTAAAGTTTGCGTGGTGTCGTTACAATTAAAGCAGGAAATCTGTCAGCAGACAGCAGCGGACGCACAAGAAAACACGCTCAGGGAAACTTGCTCTATTCATGCCCATAGATGTCAGAGAAACCACYGTTTCATTCATTTCAGCTAATTTTTCAGTCCAAAGGTCTGTGTTAAAATAAGTTCAAAAATAGCTGAGATTACATAGATAATTTTTAAATGTCACATTTTTCAACTGAAAGAAGCATGTTTTTATTTCCCACATCCTAACTTTTCCAAGAGAGAAATTAGAAACATGATAGAAAAGAATACTAGAACCTCTTAAATTTTCATAWTTTTTTTTAATTTAATGAAAATTTATGGTTCAAAAGATATTTTCAACCTCAATTTCTATTTAAAAATATATAGCCCTAAGCAACCATTTCACAAGGACAGTAGTCAAGAAATAACTGAGAAGAAACAAAGGTAAAGTTCCATGTAAAATGTATCTGTTTTTGTTGGCTTGGGTTTCACAAATCTGTCCATATTTCACTTACCTTTCACCACATATCCTTTTCAAAGATATTTTTCTTTTTGCCTTGCTAAGCTGCAACCTCCCAAGCTTCCTAAAAMAGGCTTCTTCAGAAAAGCCTGCGTTGGGGCTAAGATGCCCGCTTGAAATCTTTCCTCAAAAAGGTTGAGATAATTTCTCAAGACCAGAAAATCCTCCGATTGCTTTTAGAGCAGTCAGTGATCACTTCTTTAAAAAAATAAAAAATATTAGCTTATTTTTCTTTTGGAGCAACCACAGATGTTCACATTTGTTCCACAAGTCAGCAGACCTGCACTGGGCGTATATCATGCTCATCCGCAAGCTATGTGGTGTTCGACACAAACGTTACTGCCTGCCAATGAAAACTTCAGGAGGGAAACGATATGTGAAGGCCGCGTTCAAACAGTGCAYTGGAGGATAATAATCCATCAGTAATTCCATAAACCATTAAAGCTCTGAGACTTTCAAGAGTTAAATGCTTAGAGGCCAAAAATGTGGAAGGTTTAGGTGCTTCTCCCTGTGGAATTCATACAGAACTTTCAACTTAGACAGTGTTGATATCTTTTTGTTTTTTTCCCCCTCTAAGAAAGACTTTCTCTTCCTGTATTTATTATGAACAAATAGATTATATGCAGTTGTTAGCGGTGAATGTAAATCTTGAYGGAGATATGGTCTGCAAAGTCAGCATACGGTGACATCTGGGGCATTATCAGAGTATGGCCATTTGTTTTGAGTTCCCCAGTGCTACCCACAGTACTGATCTGCTTTTTTACGAGCAATTATTTTATTTTTCTGTACTGCCTATAAATAGAGGCGATTAAGCCACGTACACTCATGAAAACAACACAGGTTGGCCTTAGAGAGCCTATATTTTCTACACGCTTCCCTAAATTTTAGGTAGTACTCCGTGACCTGTTAAGTGTCAGTAATAAGTGCTGGGAAATTTGGTTTATCTAGGTAAACACTTACAAAAAATCCAAAAAGTAGAAAAGTACTTACAAAAAAAAAAAAAAAAAAAAAAAAAACAGCAACAGCAAACATTAGAGGCACCTACCAGAGAGTGATTCTGTGCTCTGGCTGGTGATATTGTGGGACGAGTCCTGCAGCGAGTAGGTGGACGTGGGGATGGCTGACGGGCTGATGCTGTTTGCCGACACATAGGGAGAGTTGTAGGAAGAGCTGTAATACTGAGAGTACTGGCTCTGCGGAAAGCTTGGATAGGAGGAGTATTCCTTCAGGGAAAAAAGAAACACGGACCTTCTGCACATCACAGTTTTCATCTCATACACAAACGTGCCAGGCCCTGCGCACAGCAAGGCAGCGTTACCCAAGCACGCAGCAAGGCCAGACTGAGGAACCCTCTCGCCAACGGTCTGTGTTTTAGTCACTTCGGAAATTACATTTCTGCTTCTCCTAAATACACTCCTGCTTTATTAAGATCAGCTGAATCAACAAGAAGTCAAAAATCAGGAAAGTCCTGTTTTTTCTGTAGGATTTTATTTATCACCGCTGACACTTTTGGCATTACAGGGTTCACTAGTTTTAAATAAGAGTGAAGTGGGGTGGTATTTTGAGAAGGACAGCAGAGCAACGTGCAATCTCCATGTCAACCCTATACCTGAGAAACTAGAAAACAGCCATGAAAAGTTGGTGAGGGAGGGAGCAAAACAGGCTGCATTTTCCCATGCTCAGCACATTTTCTGATCAGCTGTTTGAATGGCTTAGAAAAGTGAAAAAATGCAGTAATTGTTTTGCAGAAATGTTCATGCTTGAGATTTTCCAGCTAGCTCAGCAACAACTCCGTGCCCAAATGTGTGTCCTTGCCTATAGAAATAGGAGTTAATAACAGGAGGTGCGAGTGAGCTTAGCGAGCTGCACTGCAGTAGCTGAATCAATGCAAACAGGGTGTCGTGATCCCCTTGTCCTGATTTTAAGGATCCCGTGGGCAGTTCACCCCACATCCCGYGGGCAGGCGTGGCGTTGCCAGCACTGCCTGTGGCCATACCTGGTGCACAGCACCGAATCCAGCCGAGTTTGCCAGCCCATTGGCTCCTTGGTAAATCCCTGCTGTGCCTAAGAGAAAGAACATTACGTTCATAAACGATAACGGGAATCAAAGTAGCTCTATAGATTTATATACAGAATCAACAACARTAGATAAAGTATTTGTACTCTAAGAAAGAAAAATATCAACAACCCTCTAATACTGCCATTTCCAATTTATCCTCCACAGCTGTTCCAACCATTTATCCACTCATTTCCCATTCTTTCCCAGGTAACAGCACTTACTGTAATAATTAGAGAGGGCCTTGAACGGGAAAAGCAAAGCTCATTCAACATGGGGCAGTGCTAGGAAGCCTCTGGATGAGTGATGCAAACACGCCCTCCCATTTCTGGATGCCTACTTCCCATTTCCAGAGGACTTTTGCTTTCTCATGCAACGGCATTTCTTCCTGACCTCTGAAGACAGCCCAGCTCCCCAAGCTGCAGCCACGTTTTACATTCACTCTACTGCAGAGGGACCAGCAAGAGATTTGTTTCCATCTACGATGGTAGTGCAGTGTCAAGCAGTTGCATTCAAACTCCTACTTGCAAATCAGAAACAACCCTGGGATCTCTCCCCTTGGATCTTCTCCATATGGAATATGGTTCACATCTGTGTTCAATCAAACCAGTTGCTAAATGTCACAATGCCCTCATTCACAGGTAGCTTAAAGAACATTTAGCTGGTAATAAAACAATCTGGATCCTAGAGAAGAATAGCTCTTCRGATGTACGGCACTGTAAATGTTCCTGTAAAGAATATATATCACAGACACACTTGCACACATAAAGGCCATGCATATGCCATACATATYCAGTGCCACAGCTTTTCCCTGCTAAGTAGATGTAGCCCTTCTCTGAGTRTCTAAGGGCAGTGTTTAGAGAGAAAATTTTGTGAGCTGATTGATGTTATATTCCTGTTCTTCATAACAGATGGATTTCATTTGCCATTTTCCCCTCATCTCCCTTTTAATTCAAACACTTTGTAATCTTTGCCATGGCAAAGGACAGTTTCAATGGTGTGGGAGTGCACTGTGCTCCTACAAAACCTTTCATGACATTTTCTCCTTCATCTCAGTTTCTCCATTTCTTTCTTTCCATCATTGCAACAACAGGCTACTTTTCCCCCACCAACCTTCCCTCTCTTCAGACAAAGAAAATGAGAGTTCAGGGTTATGTCCAGTATCTTTAGGACTAAGCTTTGGTATTGCCAAAAACCCCTTTCTTTCAGCAGCAGCGTGTGACTGCAGAGTGCACCACAGGAAACCCGGTGCCTCGAGGAGCTGTGGAATGGCGAGCGGACAGACCTGTGGATTTCACGTCAGGCTCGTGGGAAGCTCCAAAAACTGGGTCTGGGCCTTCCTTGCATTTCAGAGGTCAGAGAGGATCTGCCATCAGAGAGGTGTTCCCTCGGGCTCCCATGCCACTCAAAAAAGAATAAAGTGCTATGCTTTGAACTGATAGTTCACATCTACATTATTTAATAAAATACTCAAGAATCAGAGGGGGAAACAGCCAGGTATCAATGCTGTTGGACAGCAGGACACTTTTATGGCTACTTGGGTACGCAGCAACAACCATGAGCCCAAGAAAACCCAAAAGATGGAAAGTTGGGCTGGGGCACAGCAAGCAGCTACCTCGGACACTTCTGAATATGTCTGAAATAAAGCAGTGAACTACGACCCAGGTGTTTCTTCTAACTTGTGGATGAATCATACAGTGGTTCCAGTGAGAGTTCTCTCAAAGGATTGTTTGATCACTTAGCACTAATAAAATAAATGCCTACAGGGTTCAGTTGAATTGCATGCTATTTTATAGGACTGCCTATAATGGCTTGTATATTCTTACATTAGCAAGCTGTTCCTACAGGAAACAAAGTTGACTATGAGTGATGCAAGGAAAGGCCCTGGTCTAACTCCCAGCAGAGCGTGCATTACTCTACACTACGAACAACATCTGGCTGAAGACTTGCGTGGTCACTCAAAAGGCTCTTTGCAGTGCTTTAGCTCTCTGACAAGCTAATGTTTCCTGCAGTAAATATTGCCTTCTTCAAGCTGCTACTTTTTCAGCTAGAGGTTAAGCACTCATCAAAACTACCTCCCACCAGCTATACTCCAGTGCCTTGTAAGGTTCCAAATCCTACAACATCTGCCTGCATTTATTGGGCAAGAAAACTCATAAAATGTTGCATGGCTGTCAGCTGTTGAGGTATTTCAAGACTATCTGACCTGTTAAAGGAGAAGAAAAACTCAACCCATATGTACACTGCGACATATTGCTCAACTGTTTGCCATTAGGTATAATGAACCCTTCTCCATAAGCAGTCTTATATTTCTGTCTGGAAAGGCTCCGGCAGGGAAGAGCACACTATATCAGCCCAGATAAAAAGGGTGCTGCTGCAGTGTTATGGCACGGGACATCAGCACRTCTATTAACACATACCGCTCCCAGAAGCGTATGGAGCCCCCCTGCAGATAATGCTCCCCCATAGGTTCCCTTTTAAAATATGTCCTTGGTCTCCCCTGCATTCCCGCTCAGCCCTGCGAGCCTGACCAGCTGTTTGTGGGTAGTTAGGGTTGATATAAACCACATTTCACGGCACGATTTTTCTGAGCCAAAGCTCTTCCCCTGCTGCTGGGAGGACTCGGCCCCCAGAGGCTCAAAGGGCTCTAACAAGCGACGAGCGGCGCAGGGGGAGGGCCTGGCTTTTACCATCCTTTGGAGCCCGGGCACCTGTACAGCTCGATGCAGCTCAGCAGCGGTGTTGAAAGCGCTGGGATGGTTTATTTTTACTCTCAGGATTTGAGCATGGGGAAAGCATTTCTGTTTTATTATTTCTGAGAAAGTGTTCCTGTTAACCACTCCTGTCAAAGGATGCTGCTATAGAAGCTATAGAAGCAAGTCAAGCTGGATTGCCTTTCAAAATAAATTGCAAGGAAAGACTTTGGGCCTAAAAGTGCACATTGCAAGTACATAATTTGTTTCTGCACAGTGTCCTATTGACAAAACGATCATCAGACCTGACTTTATGTGGGAGGCTCCTTGGAGGCAAAAAGAATCCTCCAGCTGCCGCTTCACCCGGACACAATCACCGGTCAGACCCACTGACGGGTTACAGGACACAGGGAAGGCTGGAGGGATTTGCCACTTTCTGTGCTGTCTCACACTTAGTGGTTGAGAGATGCCAGTTCCCAGGTCAGTGCTAAAATCTAACCAGTCCTAGAACTTCTGCTGTCAGGGGATATGGGGGTCAGAAACCTAGTCTGTGCATACCCACGTACTTAGCAAGTCTCACGCCCTTGAGCAAGGAGGGTCTCTAAATGCAACCCGAGGGGAGCGAGCTAGTAACTCTGCATCACTGCGGAGCAGGGTAACTCTGCTGAGCACCCTCTGCACCCCGACAACTGCCCCAAGCCTCTCCTTACCCCTCCAGGCACTGCTCAGGGCTGCAGTGCTCCCAGGGAAAGAAAAACAGCTGTCAATAGTGGGTGCTTAGGGAAGGGGATAGGAGAGGATGAGAGAGCTCTCCCTGGAGACTTCCTAAGCCAAGGCAATCCTCATCTTTGTCTTTCAGGAGCTTTCAATGGTCTTTTCAGAGAGTGCAGGTATTCCCATAGTTCTGAATGGCAGAGAGTTTGCCACAGTGTTGATGTTTGAGCCCTGCCAATCTGCCTACAAACCCTACCCGAAGGCTGCCTACAAACCCTACCCAAAGCCAGGCAGGAGTGTTCCCCAGCCCACAAGACCAGCCCCCGGCCAGCAYGGCCTGCGCTAACCGCAGTGCACCCGGCCCTCGGCACGCGCCGGCGTCACCACAACCTCCCCTCGCACCACTGGGGGCTGCATTTTCCACCAGACCTCTATCGCACGCAGCGCCTGCACACGAGATACAAAACCCCAAGCACCAAGACTGCACAGCACCAAAATTSCAACATTTCCCAACTTCCACACGTTTGACTATGCAGGGTAAGTTTTTTGATGCAGGGTTTTTTTTTTTATAAGTAACTTTATACTAGCTCTTCTGTTGCCTTCTAGTCATTATCAAGAAAGCATTATTAGGTGTATCAAATCAATTATGCAGCGAGGCTCCTGTAACATTTTAGCATATTCTATGCCAGCTTCATTTTATGCTGAATTACCAAAACCAAGCTGATAATTCCCCTAGCTGTTACCATCCTTCATTGCTTTTTCTACTGCAAAAGTGGTAAAAATAAAATCACAAAAAGTCCCCCCAAACATCTCCACAACATTTCTACACCGACATTAGAACTGTATGAAAGAGGATACAGAATTTTAAAATTTGCTGCACATCCTCCATGCAATATATATTGCACAGCATTCCAGCCCCTCCATTCTTCTTGCAGATAATCCCAAAAAAGCAAAACATTCCATGTAATTTAATTCCACATTTAGAAATTAAGCCGGTTCTCAGAATTCATTAACATACAGGACTACTCCCTCTATTACAGAGCCTTTTGTAAAGCTGAAATGTGAATTGCAAACACAAACTGACACAAGCACATGCCCAACTCTTAGTCACCAACCTCCCTCTTACACATGAAAAGTCTTCCTTTTCCTCATTTACTTCTTAATAGCTATTTAGCTCTACTCACTTGAGAGGCTGAACTATGACTTAAGATTGCATAGCAGAGACTTACATTACTTCACAGGAAACAGTAAGTGTAAAGTTTGACTATTATTCATAAATTTTCCTCATCTCTTTCAATGTACAGGTTTTAAGCACCCCTAGCTCTAGGAATGTCCACACTACTGTCTACTCTTTCCCGTGTCCATTTAGATTTAGTAACCGTCTAAAAATATATTTTAACGTCAATGACAGGATTTCTGAAAGGATGCACCAAACAGTCTGCATAAGCAGCAACAGGACATCTCAGCACAGAGGTTTCTGCTCGAGCAGCAGTAGCGCAGACCCTTGCAGCTCACACTGCGTCACTGTCAACACCTTCGCCTCTCCCCAGGAGTCCCCTCTCCAGGAGGACGGCTGATTTTAAAACAAAGTAAATGCATCA